ATCCAACTCTGCCGGTTTCTTATAAAAAAAGAAGAAAAAAATTGCTCTTAAACTATTAATTTCTCCCTATTTCATCTAGCAATCAAGCAGTTTTTGTTGTTTTGTATACCAGCCTTCTTGAACAGAGATAAGTCAAATTTAGATAGGATTTTCATATTTTTATACTAATGTGCGATACGCGTAACGTGCATATAATTTTGGCATTAATTCTAAACATATTGTTTATTTGTATCTCGACCTGCCCTATTTAAGGGCATAATGGGTGATATATGGGTGATTCTTTTTAAACATGACAATTCGGACCAAAAAATTTCTTCAACTTTAAAGTCTTCAAAATAATCTAAATTCTTTTGTGTATACCTCTTTAGTTACACTTATTAACATCTTAGAGTAGTTGTAGTTTATTGACATTTGCTCAAGAAAAAAAATAAAATAGAAATTCACCACCAAATCTTGAATGCCAGGAAAATGACATATTAACTTAGAAGTTTAAAAAACAGTCATTTTAAGTTAATAGTAAGTAACTCAACTTAAGCCTTTATGTTAGATGGACCATAAATTGCTTAAATTAATTCTTTTTATCCACTGTAGAAAGAAACAAAAAAATTTTTGTTGCTGATATGTACAGAATAAAATTGTGTATAATAATCAATCATTAAATAAATAAATAACTTTGATTACATCCAAGCATATTACAATCATACATAAACTTGGTATTAGGTTAATATTTGCTTTCCCTCTTTACAGTATTAGCAGTTAAAAAGAATTTCTGGTAACACTTCAATGTCCTGGCATTCATAAGCCAGGAAAATGACAGCCAGGATAATGACAAATTCGCCATTTTATAGCATATAACTTTACTTTAATTTAATATTTTGGCCTAAGACGTTTACATTCTGCAGAAAACAACAGGATTTCTTAAAATAACTCAGATAAATCTATGTAGTTTATATTATTAATGATTTCAAGAAAAAAAGAAAATGACAACACAAAAACCTACTCATCTTTAAAAAATTTTTGAAATGGATTTTGAACCAGAAAATTGGTTCTTTATTCATGCAACAAGACATGTTCAGATAGGAGGGTATATAATCAATCTATTAGCATAAGATATTGATTGCTGGCTCTATCTATTTTGGTTATAAACCACTAAATAAAAGTAGCCAGGAAAATGGCAGATTTTCTTGGGACGAACAAATTATTGACAGAAAAAATTATTTTAAACGAAGTTTTTGTTTTGCCCTCTGCGTATATTCTAGAAATGCTTACACCGGTTGAGATATAAAAAAAATTAGATATTGAAAAATTTATGGGAAGTTTTGAAGCTAGTTATAATTGGACACATTGTTTGGGACATGTCAGGAAAATGACATTCTGAAATTCAATTAAATTTTTTAACTATACAAAACAGTCAATGCTAGTGCAAAGTCATTTTAAAATGCTAACAGCAATGCAATTTATTAATTTTTAAAAAAAAAAGTTCTTTTAGGATTATAGTATTAGATCTTGGAGCAAGGGACAGTGAATTGTCATATTTCGTGAGAATCACCCATATATTAAGGGCGGTCATTGTGGAACACACTGTGTAATATTTTTTAAGAAATTTAGATATTATAGTTAAAAATTAAGATAACAATTAATTTGCTAAAAATTTCGATATTTTATATAGCTTTATAAATTTTTAATTATTTTTTAAGAATGTTAATTACTCTTTTTTTCCTTAATTCTTAAAGAAAAATATTTCAGAAAAATAAATATTTTTATTTTGAATCCCATTAGTTATTCACAAATTTATAATTGCATATGATTTACTCAGCTATATTAAGAAATTAAACCGAGAAATAAATTAAATATGCAAATGAATAATTTAAATTATAATATAATTAAAATTCATATTTTGTATAGAATTTCCTTGCGACTCTCATATACGGTTTTGAGAAACTTATTCTCCAGTAATATTTCAAATTTATTTATTTTATTAACTACCAAAACTGCAAATCCTAAGACTCTAAATAAATGATTTATAAATTAATAAACTTTTTCGATTACAATGCATTAATTACAAAAAAATTTAATACTTGCTTTTAAATTGTTATTTTTTAGTTGAAATTTCAATCTTCATTAAGTGTTAATCTTAATTAAGCTAAAATTACTTTTCTTTATTTTAAATTATAATTTATGACTTTAAAATTTTTTATGACGATACTTTCCTTTTTTAAAGTTTCAGCTATTATTTCAAATTAAATTTATTTTTTATCAATAATAATTACTATTTTTTCAGTTCATATAGTGCTGACGAGAAATAAAATCAGTGGTAGGCGGATCATGGGTTAGAGTCCCCTTGCCGTCAGGCTAACCGTGGGATGTTCTCGTGGTCTTCCTCTTCAAATGTAACGTAAATGAGGGTTAGCTCCATCAAAAAGTCCTCCACGAAGACAAATTTCTCCCAATACTCGATCCAGGAGTTCCCTTGTCTTCTGTTCTTGTCTTGTGTTCAGTCTTGGGCTCAAAATTACAAGGCTACGGAGTTGAACATTAGCAGTCGTTAAACCCATAAAATTGGGTCGGCTGCTCAGCGACGGTTATATATATATATAATACACCGAAGAACCATTACATTATGACCACCCTCCATCTATAACAATCGGCTCGCCCAGGTTTCCATGGTTTCTCGCCTAGAAACAATGTTCTCATGGGGTACATTAGGGGCCGTTCAAAAAGTACGTACTTCTCGAAGGGGGGGAGGGGATTTGCTATTTTGTACGGTTTTGTACGATGGGTAGGGGGGGAGGTATTGTACAAAGTACGTACTTTATAAACATACACCAAATTTAAATATGACTGTATCCTACACACTCCTTAATNCTTGGCCCCCAAATTCACCTAACCTTAATCCAATAGAGCATTTGTGGTCCTACTTAGAAAACCAAATTCATGCTGCCACGCTACCCCCTCGCAATGTGATGAAATTGCAGGACCAATTGGTGAGCGCTTGGTACCAGATACCTCAGACTACCTATCAGCACCTTGTGGAATCAATGCCACGGCGGGTGCCAGCAGTTCTGAGGGCTAAAGGTGGTCCTACATGTAATTAGCAAGGTGGTCATAATGTAATGGCTCTTCGGTATATATACCTAGTAGTAAAATTAAGTGAGTTGAAACGTCCACTGATAGGAAATTCGAACACTGTCTTAAGAAAACTACATTCAATTTGTCAATGCTCATTACATGCAAATATGCGTCAAATAAAAGTGTGTCACATCATTTTAGTTTAAATGAATGTTCTATCAACATTTTTTAAAGCATTTTCGGATGTGCGAATAATCGAANATATATTATATGTAATATATAATTAGATTTGGTTAATTTAAATCAGACTGTGGAGAGTCAATATTTGAAATGTTGGACTCCAATTCCGGACATTTCTCAGAGCCAAACTCTGATTCTGACATGTAATACATTTACATTTTTACCCAATCCTGGGAAAGAAGTAATATTATTACTTATGTTGATTTCAAGTTCAATTGATTTAACGATTTTTTTAAAATTGCATTTAATGTATTACCATTATAGTTAAAGAAATAACTTTTAACAAATATGTATTTTTAAAGATATTAAAATTGTGCAAAATCATTATCAGAAAAGAGCTCGATATTTTAATATCTCGCATAAATAATATCATTCTATTAAAAGAGTGTATGTTTATAAGAACTCGGAATTCATCACAAATAATACATTAACTTAATTTGTATAATTATCATTTAAATTAACTTTGCAACTTAGCCAAATAAAATTCATTTTGGATTTTATGAATTATTCGTTTCTCGATAATCTTCTCGATATTTCAATAGTTTCAATAATTTAATGTGCTTTTTTCAATAGTTCAATCTAACATAGACTCATAAATGTTTAGATGCAATTAACTAATTGTGTGATAATTTAAACAATTGCAGAAATATTTATTCGAATAATATTTTTGTTCGGGAAGTTTTAAATATTTATCTAAATAATTTTCAGTCTTCTTTTCTTCCTTTTACTTATAGAACTTATTTATAACCGTCGTTAAACAACAGACTCAATTTTGAGTTTACGACTACCAATGCTCAACACCGTAGCCTTGTCATTTTAAACCCAATCCAGAAGACAAGGGAACTCCTGCTTTAAGTAGTGGAAGAAATTTGCCTTCGTGGAAGACTTTTTGATGGAAATTAACCCACATTTGCGTTATAAAGAGGAAAACCACGAAAACCTCCGACAGTTAGCTTAACTGCAAGGGGACTCCAACCATGATCCGTCTACCACTGACGATATTTTACGTCAACACTGTTTTCGGGGAGAGCCGGATACGGAATTCGTACGACCATCCATCGCTTGTATTCGAACCCGGGCCACCTCATTGGGAGGCGAGTGCTCCATCCTCTGAGCCACCATATGTATAGGACTTTTTATTTTTATTTTATATCCGTCTGAATTTTTGGGTTTACGACTACTAATGTTAAACTCCGTAGCCTTGTAATTTTGAACCCAATCCAGAAGACAATGAAACTCCTGTTTTAAGTATTGGGAGAAATTCGCCTTGTGGAGGACTTTTTGATGTAACTAACCCGCATTTGCGTTATATGGAGAGGAAGACCACTAAAACCTCCCGCGGTTAGACTGACGGCAAGGGGACTCTAACCCGTTATCCATCTACCACTGAGGATATTTTTATGTCATTATTCTTTTCGGTTCTTGCCGGGTGCATCGGAATTCGTATCGACCAGCCATCGCCGAGTGTCGAACCCAATCCACCTCATTGGAAGGCGAACGCTCTATCCCCTGAGCCGCCATACTTATAGGACTTGGTTTAAATTACCGGAGTAGAGCAAATCCAAATCTGGCTCCACAGACTTGATTTGCATACAAATTATCGTCAGTAAACAATAAATTGCTGACATTTTTAGTTAACGTAATTAAAAAAGACTTTTAAGTAATAAATTCCAAAATATATATATACTAACTTCCAACTGAAATAGTTCCTGTTCTTCTTTCAGCCATTCTTTTCAGTACTTCCCGAAAGGCTTTTTCTTGCAGAGTTGTTAATTTATTATCAGTCAGATTTAAACTCTTGAAGACTTGGTTTTGAAACGCTCCTTCGGCAATGTACATAATTTTGTTGTTGTTCAAATTTAGCTGGAATTTCGAATTCCCTTCTATTGCGGAAAAAGCCAAATTGTTTAAAACAGTTAATTTATTATATTGCAAATCTAATGATTCCAGATTAGTGAGAAATTTGAAAGCATTTGTTCCAATGTGATTTATCTTATTAAATGAGAGATCAATTTTTCTGATTTTATTATTGAACGTTTTACCAAAAGCTTCATCAGGAATGCTTTTAAAGGAGTTGTATTTCAAATTGATAAATTCCAATTTTGAAAAAGCTGACAATTCTTTAAAAGGGAATTTTTCGAGATCATTGTGAATAATTTCAATTCGTTTTAGAGAATCTCTAGAACTGTCAAAAAACTCTTTGCCTATTTTTTTAAGAGTGTTTTTTCTCATATAAATGTATTCAAACTGCCCAAAGAGAAGAAACTCTAAACTCTGAATTCTAGAATTCGTTAGGCTGAATTTACCAAAAGGAATAAATTGTGGTATAGATCTTGTTGCACTAATGATGCTTTGGATTTCAATTATTTTGTCACAATTAAATAAAAGAAAAGTTTGTGGTCCATTACAAGTGCAAGGAAGTATTCTATTAGAAGGAGGGCATTGTTCTTCCAAGTAATAAGCTTCCAATGTGCTGTTTGAAGCATCGTCACCCTTTCCCTTTTCCACAAGAATTAAGATGTAAATTATTATTGAAGCAATTTTTTTCATCTGAAATAAACAAAGAAGACATTTAAGTAATATTCAAAGCTCATAGCAAATACTCATAAGAGAGGTTTCCAATAATCAGGGTGCAATCATCAGAACCATTCAGATTTCATTTCATAATGGATTTAATTTATACAGAATACTTAATATGTAATGTAATATATAGTTCGTTCATCAGGAGTTGGCCCTTGGCTCCACTAGGACGAAGAGTTCATTCCAGCTCAGGGAGTAAAAGGAGAAACGTCTCCACCCTTAAAATTGAGACTACCCTTAATGCGCAACTCTTAACCGCGAATTCTTTTTCAGTCACTAACTTCGCTTCGTCATCTGCTATTGTACCTTTCATTACTCTAGCTAATTAAATATATTAAAGTAAAATGTCTCAAAAAGGACAAACTATTCACTCAAAAGAGAGAAATATCATCAACTTTGTGAAATATTTAATGGTAAAAAATACACATAAAGGTTGCGAAATAAATATTCTTTTTATACGATCGTAACCTTGTTTAGGATTGTTCAGATCCTTCTCCTAAAAATGGCAAAATAGGATACCACGTGATTAAGGTAGAGCCAAGTGGCAACTCCTGGTGAACGAACTATACTTAGTATGTATTTATATATCTTTCAACACATTAGGGATCAGACATTGATATTTAAGTAACAAAAAATTTTTATACTCTAATTAATCATTATTGAATTTAATTACAGCAAAGAGAGATTAAAATATTCTTTAACTTATACGTTTGAAGATAAAGCTGTCTTTAGCAGGTGCAAATGCATTTCAGTTTTCATGGTTCGATTTAGAAATCATGGGCTGTCGTGGAGTTCGCTGTTCGTAACCGTCGAACAAATGTAGAGTAGACCTCACAATTGTAAAACTCGTCTATTCAACGATAATTTCATACAAAAAAAATTTTTATAGCTATTATTATTTTTTAAATTTAATTTAATGGTCAAAAAATTTCCTATAATAGGGTCTAAAAATTTTTGCACCATTTAAAAAAAAAATTTCCTTTTAAATTACTAAGTCCGAAATATGAAGACAATCAATCAAGTAGTTCTTGAGAAATAAAAAATAAAAAAAAACGACTCTTTGAAAGTTGATTACTCAGAAAATATTCAAACGATTTCATTCGAATTTTAGATTTTGTCACTCTAAGTTACATTGTTTAAAATGAGGTAAAGATAGTATACATCAATGCATTCAAATATGTTTAGCCATTAAATTAAATATTAAAAAATAATTATTAAAATTTATTTTTTCATGAAATTAAATTTGTATCAATGAATTTTATAATTGCGTGAAAGAAATTTTCGATTTTCTTAAAAAGTTCCCGAGATATAGCAAAATACGTAAAATGTAAAATACGTATATTAAAAGACCCAAACATTCGATCGCTCTCTCTCCGGACTAAACTTTTGCATCCATATTTTCCAGATTGTAGGTAATCCTCATAAATCGATAGTCAAAAATTCAAATCCGTCAAATAAAAGGTGTGTTTATCCACCGAAAGTACGTTTGTGTGTCTGTTTCTTCAACTTCATTAATAGTTAGCACTAATTAATTAGCATATTTGATGTCAACCTTTTGAACTATTAAATTTTTCTTATGGGACTGAGTGTCTGATTTATTATAATACCTGACAGGTCGAAGTCTAGGAGCCCCTTAAATTTCACAGATAATGTTCTTTTTTTCCTTAAGAATTGTCTTCTAAATAATGGAAATAAATACAAACTTAAATTTACTCAATATATTCTAATTCTTTTATGTTATAGTGGAATTGAGGCAGTTGTTTTAATACCAACTTTTAAACCAACTCAGAAGATAAATGAACTATTTTGACAAACTCATTATCTTTTTTTTCTTCTTTTTTTTTAAATAACACTTACATTTGGCATAAGTGCAAAACAAATACTTATCGTGAATATTTTATACTTGCACTTTGTTTGGCTTGTGGATTTGTATTGTGTGAACTGAGATTTGTATACAAGTCAGACAAACGTTACTGGAATTTTAACTGGGTACAGCTGCATCGAAAGTAGGTGATGCATCTCCTTTTGTAATAATAAGGTGAATTGAACAATCCAGATGATCTGGATGTTTGCAAGCAATACTGTGTAGGGGAGAATGATTAAAACAAAATTTGAGGTCAAGGTCATTCTAACATCAAAACACTTTTCATTTCATTATCAGTATTCAGTTTTAGTGATAAAAAATCTTTGCTTTATATAAGCCCCCGTATCCTAGAAATTTTTCATTATTCCTAACGTTAAATATTGTCCGTAGCGGTAATGTTAAGATATTTTTTAAAGGACAGATCAACGTATTTGCTATGATAAAAATTCATTTTTTATTAAAATAAGCATGATTCAAACGAAAATTCAAATAATTACCAACATTGTTTGGTGCGAGTAAGAAAACTTATAGTTCACAATTCCACATGTCACTAACTGTTTTTGTCATAATTTTTTAGATCATTCGAAACAGGATGTTCTGTTCTACCAAAATCAATGGGTTTTTTTTTTAATCTTTCAGATCATTAAAATGAAACGTCATCTTGAGAAAAATGAGCCTTTTCGATATTTCCTTCTTTTTGCTTTTAATCAAGTTTCTCAGATAGCAAAATCTGTTCATGACACTTGCGCTGTGTACAGAGAGAATACCACAGGTGAAAGAATCACTTTTGATTGGCATGCCAAGTTTAAAATAAAAAGTTTGACCCCAACGATACACCTCGTTCTGGTCATCCAGTTGAATTCGATAAAGAGTGATTAAACCTTTTGCGCAAAAATTCAAATCAAACAATAAAGGACCTGGCAGAGAAAATGGAATGCTCTCCCATTTAAAACTTTCAAAGAATTAAAACAAGCGGAAACTTTTAATGTTAGCCAGTTCATTAACGTGAGAGAACTTTGATTCTGAATTAACTACAATGTTTAAAAAAAATTAAAAAAAGAACAGTAATACCTTTCCAACAGGAATAGCAAACTTTTATTCAATCAAAGAACTAAGAGTATATGAGTGCTTAATACTTGGAAAGAATCGATAGTTAGATTTAACAACGGTGCAACTATTCATATCATTAACTAACGGCAATTGAACAATAAACTCAAAAATTGGAAAAATATCTTAGAAAGAATTTTCACCATTATCTAACTTCATGGGACACAAAATTTAGTATTGCATGGATCAATTAAAAAATTGTATTAACCCAACAATAGTATTTTTTTTTCTTCAAAAAATTGTGGAGCTTTTAGTAAAATTCGACCCAATAGTGAAAGAATATATTCGAAAAATTCAAAATAAAGAGATTCGTTTTCAGTCCTTAGGAAGACACATTCAAAACGAAGTTATCGAACTCATAAGTAAAAAGACATTAAAAAAGAAATCATTAAAAAATTAAAAGGATGTCAGTACTGTTCACATGCACTCCTGATCTTTCACATACAGTGGCAAATGTCAAGTGTAATGTACAGTGCAAATATTTCTAATTTTTGTGAACGCAAGCAACTCTCCTAATAAAGAAGGGAACTAATTGATATTTCTGAACATTTATTAGGGTTCATCCCTTTTAACAATAGGACATGTAAGGGAATGACAGAGGAAATTCTAACAATTAAGTCTTATTCTGAATTAATATACTCTTGTAATTAATAATGTTAATCTAATAATTACTGACTTAATATATTCTTGTGTTAAAGCAGTTACATTTTTAGTGCATCATTTATGCAGCTTTTTTTCAGCATGGATATTTTAAAGACGTTTATTAATCCTGAAGATTTTACTTTGAAGTGTATGAGAGACATAAAATAGGCTAGTAGGACTGATGCTTTAAAACCCTTGAGACATCAATTTTTTGTATCCGTCGTTGAACAGCCGACCCAATTTTTTGGGTTTAAGACTACTAATGTTCAACTCCTTGTGATTTTGATCCCAATAAAGAAGACAAGGGAACTCCTGGATCAAGTATTAGGAGAAATTTGCCTTCGTGGAGGACTTCTCGATGGAACTAACCCGCATTTGCGTTACATGGAGAGGAAAACCACGAGAAACTCCCACGGTTAACCTGACGCCAAGGGGACTCTAACCCGTGATCCGTCTACCACTGAGGATATTTCACGTCAGCACTGTGGTCGGAGCAAGGCGGATACGGAATTCGTATCGACTAGCCATCACCGGGATTCGAACACGGTTCACCTAGTTGGAAGGTGAATGCTCTACTCCCTGAGCCATCGCAGCTCTTGAGACATCAATTGAATAAAATTATCGAAGGCCTGGTAATTTTTTGTTTGTTTGTCATTTAGCTTACCATAACGACAGCAACAATAGCGTAAAAATAATCAGCAGCAAGCTCCTTATTAAAAGATATAGGTAATTTTAAGTTTTTAATATGGTTTGACGTTTTGAATCACGTAAACATAAGTTGGCACAACGTTCCAATAAATTAAATCTTATCCAAGCAATTTCCACATCGGAAATGTTATAAAACCTTTTGAAAAATACAGAAATGAAGAAGGATTTCAAAGAATGAAGCTGTGCAAATCACCAAAAAATTGGATAGTGATTTTAATTTTGTGCTGACTCGGGTTTGTCTTTATTTAGCTTTGAATGTGACAATGGTGTGAGAAAAAACGTTTATTGATTGTTTTTACCTAATACGGTTTATCAACCAGAATTCTATATGCGCCAATTAGGCCAACCTTATGAGGCCATTTTGTTCCTTTTAGCATACATACTGTAGCTGAGGGGGCTGATCCGTCAATCTTATAATCGGCTGAACAGTGTTGACACCACAATATTTATTCCTTCAATGCATAAAGAGTTTCCGGCGTCCTGCACTCTTCAATCGGTGACTTTGGGCTGTTAGAATACGAAACTGCATAAATAGCGCACCACCCACGGAGCTCCAATGTCCATTTGAAATTTATTTTTATCATTTAGTAACTATGCTACTTGTAAATGGTTATAAAACCGTATAGTTTTGTATTCATGGTGTTTTTAC